GTGAACCAGAGAATTCGAGACCTCGAGAGGCTGCAATCCAGCGCAATGCCTACGAAGCTCATCGATCGCAGCCCATACCGATTAGCATTGAATTCGATAAATAAACCCAAGAGGCTCCAGCACAAAAGCTTAAGATTGGTGTTTATTTTGCTACTTGGTTGGCTCTAAATGTTGTGTTCAATATCTACAACAAGAAGGTCCTCAATACCTTCCCATTCCCACGGCTTACTTCAACTCTATCTCTAGCTGCCGGCTCTCTGCTGATGCTGGTTTCTTGGGCTACAAAGATTGCTGAGGCACCAAAAACTGATTTGGAGTTTTGGAAAACTTTGTTTCCTGTAAGCAGACAAAAACCCTTTCACTTCTCGTATTTATCATTTAGAGTTTCCAATCCTAAAGTTATGGTAACGACGCTTAATTTGTTTGTTTGGATTAGGTTGCTGTGGCCCACACAATTGGGCATGTGGCTGCAACAGTAAGCATGTCAAAGGTAGCAGTTTCATCTACACACATTATAAAAAGTGGTGAGCCAGCTTTCAGTGTTTTGGCTTCAAGATTTAGCCCTGTTTGATCAAACATTATTTTTTTCATTCTCATTCTTCTACTCATTTTTAATTATACATTCTTGAGTAAAATAATATTTTTCATCACATCAATAATTTTTCCTTCATTTTCAACCACATATTCTCCATTACATTACTTCAAAAAAATGTCTTAACAGGTAGGTAGTTATCTATGTGGAATCTCCTAGCGGGCCTGTCTTGTTCTATAACAAAACATCTACGTGTTCATTCAAGTGTCACTACACTTTAATTTGTGAGATCAGCTGCTTACTTCACAAGTAAGAATGTCACATGTGATGGTTTATCCGTAATAACGATATCTGTATCTCGTTATTACTTCGACCACAGACGATTTAAAATTCAGTCATATGTAATTTGTATCTCACAATCACAACTTTTTGTGATTAACAANCCGTAATAACGATATCCATATCTCGTTAGTACCTCGACCACGGACGATTTAAGATTCAGTCATATGTAATTTGTATTTCACAATCACAACTCCTTGTGATTAACAAATCACCAAGACTTGAATCTACGGATTCTATTATTTAATTTATTAAAATATTAATTCAATTAAATAATAGATATTTCCATACATATGCATCAATTATATATATATATATATTCAAAGTATTTATATCCATAGTTGATTGGACCTAGGACATAACACTTACATGACCCATATCCATGTGACTATTTTGTAAAATTTCTGGCATGAACAATTATGTACATTTAACATTATTCTAAATAGACAAATCAATATCACCTACAATTGCAGACAAAATAGATACTCAATTACTGTGCCCACCCCGCCCCACTGCCATCATTAGATCCTACCCAAAAAATTAGGGTGCAGTTGATTTGATATTATTAATCTGTTTTCGATTTTGCAGAATGTTGAAACACATTTGGTCTGATATTTATAAAAATGTAATTTCGAAAATAAGGATAAACTTATAACGTAAAAATTAAAATGCATTTTTGACGTTTTGAATGTTTTCAAGGAAAATTTTTGAATACAATCAAAGCTTGGAAAACAAGCTTTTAAATAAAAAATAAAAATTTAAAATTCAAACAAATAAAATATAAAAAAAAAATCAAGAACAAAAATTCCAAAAAATAAAAAACAAAAATTTTGAAAAAATAAAAATGAAAATTCTGAAAAAATAAAATTTTAAATTTTTTTAGAAAACTAAAAAATAAAAATAGTTCAAGCTTTTAATGATTATTTACGCAAAAAATTCTAAAAACATATTTAAATAAACAAAGATAAAAAAATATTTTTAGTCCATGTCGTTAATTTTTTTTTTTTATATTTCCTACATTTTGAACTCGATTTATTATTTGTTTTTGTTTTGCTTTTGTAGCGAGAAAAATATTGTAAGATACTAAGATTCGCCAACTTTAAAATGTATATATTACATGATAATATATTAATATATAATTGTTCTATTTTTATTGCATAATCAAATTTTATGAAATAAAATATCATAAAATAATTTTATCAAAATTTCAAAAACAAACGTGTTTTTTAGTTTTCTATTTTGAGAAATAATTTTTTGGAAAATAATAAATCAAACGTGATTTTCGCAATCATAAAATAGACTCTCAAGACAGAAAATTAAGAATGAACTCAAAACTAAAACACAAACAAAACACCCTTGCTTTTTCATTTTTTTTCCTTAAAATGATCCAAAAATTTAATTGGATAGAGAAGAAATCAAACTTATGACCCCACTCTCAGGATAAGGGATTTCATTATTTCAAAGACCAATCTCATAGATGAAATTTCAATTTTCAACAAAATAGGCTTTATACATGGCAATCTGGACGTAAAAGATGAATATTAAGTTAGCCGAACAAAGATACACTTCAATTATCGCGATGATGACTAGTCCAACAAATTTATTAGTGTATATATTAAGCTCATGTTTGCCCTCAAATTTATAAAACTCGTTTTTTCTCAGATTCATTTTTTAATTATATATTTTGTGGAATTTAGAACTTTTATCAAATTTTAAATCACACGTTTCATCGAATTTTAACAAAATCTACCAAAAACATGATTTTTAAACCAAAACATTTATTTGGTAAAGCTTTTGTTTGCTGAAACGTTAGTTAAGTTTCATTTTAATCATACATTTCATTGAATCACAATTTTTGTCTACTTTTTCACTACACACGTTTCACGGGACACATCAATTTTTATCAACTTTGAACATGTTTCTCTCGGGTGCTTGTCTATGTAGGGTAAAAAGACGGCTTCGCAAATTCATCCAAGTAACCTAGAAACAATATGATATTACCTATGGAAGAATTAATGAAGGAAAAGCGACTGTGTTTGATGCCTATGTCCTTATTCTTGATCTATCTTAGCTAACTGAACCACCCCAACTCAGTAGCAAAGTCATGATTTTTGTAAATAGTATGTATACAATGATACCAACGGAACTCTATAACAATACTGTTGTGCATGCGAAGTTTCATATTTGTCTCTTTTAAACATCAAATGTAAAATTTAATAAATATGATTTTAGGGTTTGAGACTTAATTTATAAATAAATTTATTTATTCCTTCCACTTTAAGATGAGTTGGTCAATGAGCATTGAAGCAGAAAGAGATGTAGTTCAAGTCACACCCCCTTTTCATTTATGAAAAATTTTACACATAATTAGGTATTTAACAAACTAATAAATATAACTTATTTAAAGTATATATCACATCAACATCCGTCGAACTTTCTGTCAAAACATTTATGTACAAGTAGCTTAATTCCCCACATTATTCTAGCCACGTTACTTATTTTTACATGCTAATTGTTACGACTTATAAATAGGATCACCACGTGGCATCATATTTAAATGGTGAGACCAGCCCAATTGAATCAGGATGTGTTTTCTTGACCTCTGAGGTGTCAACCGAGGCTCAGAGCTTAGCCGAGGCCTTTGTTTCGAGGCCTAGGGAACCTCCACTCACTATCATAGGCTCTTTAGCAGTTAGCGATGGATCACATGTGGAGATTTGCTTATAATGAAAATCTTTAATTTGAACGATTGATGTGACTTTTGTGTAAAATTTATTTGTGTCTTGTTTTGTCAATGTAAGAGCATTTAATGTCTTGTAAGGCTAAGAAAGTCAACTTGATGTCTTTGCCGAAAAGATGGCGCCACGTGTAAATTGATCAAAGGGTCCTTATTTCATTTGTAGCACTACAAATACCCCCACCATATAACACAAAAAGGGTAATGAAATTCTAAATACTTGGAGCAATATTATTCCCTCGTCTCTCTTGTTTATCAGCTCAAATCTGTCGCAAATCTTGTTCTTTATCGATTGGTTTCTTATATAATCGTGTTCTAGTTATCTCGCCGGAGTCCTAAACGGAAACGTCTCGTGTCTTTGAGCTCCTCCCACATTCAGATTCTGGAGACATTCTGATTGTTGATCGGCACTAATGTGTTGGATTTAGCTTACGTGTATACTAGTGAGTTCGCCATCTGTTGACAACATTTTCTGAGGTCAACACTAATCACAACTCTAAATCATCTTGACGCGAAGATAATAAATACTAGATAGCGACTATAAAGTAATAAACAATGGTTTGTGTTTAATTTTATTCTTTGAATGCAGAATTTAATAATATAAAGGGAATATTGCACTATTGGTTCCTAATGTGTGAATTTTGCAACTGAATCTCCAACCGATTTTTGTTAATTAATAACGTTGTCTCAAACCTAGTAGGGTTGTTGATTTTTACCGGATTTGAAAACCTGCACAAAAGGTTGAAAGTTCAAACCCCCACCCCTTAAAAATTGTAGATCATCCTCAAAACGCTGCAAGAATAACTTTGTAATTTAGAATCGAACATATAATATGATATCTGACATAAGTAATTTAAAATATGATGTAACAAATAAAAACTGTAATGCAAATATAATTACCATTTGACGTTTTCAACCAACATTAGTTAGACATCATTTTAACAAAGTGATAATAGACACAAAGGGTATGAATAGCTAGAACAAGAGGGCATTGAACCGTTTGGCAAAGATTTTGATAAGTCAAAAATTATTTTTAAAATTAGAAGTTACTTTTAAATATATTTTGATAATTTTTTGAAAATACTTTATCTGGTTAAAAGAGTTTTCAATTAAAATTGGTATAAGATAGAAGAAGCATCGCCAAACAGAGATTATTGTTCATTATTTTGGTATATTGTTGCCATATATTATTGTAACGCCCTTCTTTATCACAATTCAATTGAATAACAAAGTTTCCTTTCCCTTCTCGCCGGCCTCACACAACATAGTACCACCCAAATAAATATTACATGTCAAAAACGAGTTACATTACGGAATAACACTGTTTCCTAACTTTCCCTCTCTGTCCAAAACTCACTACCATCAACTCTCTCTGATACTTGTTTCATCAAGATGAATGATCTTCTCACGGTAAGAATACAATTTTTTTACTGAATTTTGTGTGTGTGTGTGTGTTTAAACATATTCTACTGGAAAATTTACTCTCTGGTCACTTGCTTTTGGAAAGTTGATATAATATGGGTCTGGTAAGCATCACACTATTCTTAGAGTTGGGTTGGAGTTTAAATTTTCAATTGATATTGAATTTGATTTTTTTATTTTCCAAGAAATGTATTGAGTGCATAAAGATCAATTTTTTGTTTATATGTGGTGGCTCGAGTTATGCTATCAGTGATATTATTATTATTTGGGAAATCATAGTTTCATAATTTCATTTTTTCTGCAATTTTATTATATTCTTACAACGAATCATGTTAGATGATTATGCTTTATATGGATTCAATTAGTGAGGTGATATTTATTATTTCTTTACGATGAATCGTGTTGGATACTTGGATTATACTTTGTATGGACTCAATTAGTGAGGTGAATGGTGATGTTTCCATATTTTAAGAATTTTGAGTGTGTTTTCAGGATTCATTTGTCGGGGATGCTAAAGGCAGTCCTTCAAGAGAACATGATATTGAGATAGGCGCCCATTATCCCAGGAGTAGCTCGGATTTGGGAATGGAAGGTTTTAATCAGCAGGTAGATACACGTTATACTTTCTTTAACATATAGTCATATAGTGTTTCATGATTCGTGCTTTGTGATTCATTTTAACACTTTTATCCATCATTCTTGTAGATAGACGAGGTTGAGAAACAGGTGGATAAACTGTCTGGTTTACTTACAGAACTTAAGGTATGAAAGAAACTCATAGCAATACTTTTTGTTCAGCGATGAATGAAGATAATTAGATGCTATTTTCTCGGTACATTTTTGCATGTTACACTACGGATTGTCACTGTTTTTGATATCTACTAGAATAGGTGTGCGGTTTCTCCTGTCATCTTCATGCTCAGTCTTCATGCACGTCTTCACTTTCTTCGTTTGTCTTTACATTACTGTAAAAAGATATAGATTATTAGTTGTATGAGAGATGAAATGCTTCTTGTGGTGATTGTTTATATTAGTAAGAAAGATCTGCATTTAACTCATTTTCAACATGCATGTGCTCGACCTAGATAAAGAGATCTAGCCCTCTCGTAAATGAACCAAACAAGGACATAATAAACAAATTATTCTCTGTAATGGGAGTTCAGGTTGTGTTTCACACTTTTGTCCCATGTCTAAGGCCCATATATATATATATACTTAGATGAGTAGTTGAAGACTTGGGATTTTGGCACTAGATGCATTTTTTTAGCAGAATTGTTGGGCAAATAAGAAGTGAAAGTTACATTCAGCAGAAATAATTCTCACCTGATCAACCCAACCAAATTGAATCGAGCATCTTCAGAAGATCAGTTGGAGCAGAATTACTTACACTTGACGTCCATCATGCTCCCTGATTTACAATTGATTCAATAATTTACGGAGAATATGAAAAGTCAATTATGTGCAGTAAATTATCTATTTCATTTCATTCATGAATCATGATAAAACAGTTTTCATGCTTCAATGTACAAATGCAATTCTCTCAATGAAATCACATCAGACTGAGTGTTAATTCTGTGACTCAAACTCAAGTCTTTGTATTAACCAACTCAGTAGCACGAATCACATGATTCTGAGATAGGGTATTGAGGGAGTGATGAGGTTCAAAGTTGATTGTGAGTGTATTTTTCTCAGCTCTTGTTATTTAAATACATAAGTTTGTGCATATCTTGTAGTATGATTTGTTTCTTCTTGTCTGCAAGAATAGGGAGAGAATGATTGTTCATTTTACAACCTAACTGCCACAATTCTTCATTGTATCTATACCATTGTTCTTCAAAAAACTATTACCTTTTCACATTTGGAATTAGCAAATGAATTTTGTGATGCACTACTTTGCTCTTGGCCAATACCTCCTTTATCACAGGGGAAAAAGAAAAAATGAGCTTTTCCCAACTTTTTATGGTTCAATTTTCTTTAATGGATATAATTGAGATTGCAGGTAATCTCAACCTTTAGTAATTAAAGAAATCAAATGAACTGGTTTTATTTATTCAGGTTCTGTGTTAACCAAACTTTTCTGAAAACATTTGTATGCAGGCATTTAGTTTATTGAAGCAGCAACTTAATTAACATTTGTATGAGTCTTCTTTCTTTGGATAATTGATCGTGATAATTTTTTTCAGGAGGCCAATGAGGAATCAAAATCAGTTACGAAAGCATCCGCCATGAAAGGTGAATGTTTCATCTCTTATATCGTCTTCTTATAACTGCTATAACTGTATCAAGTACCAACTGAGAAATGCTCAATGGCTCTAGAAAGTTCTCTGCAAATCAGACTGGCCTTCTAAAAGCCTTCAAAATACAAAAATAAATACACATGTATACAACTTATATGTATAAGTTCTTTATTAGCAGAAGGAACAACAACAAGCCCTGTTCCCATTATATTTGGGGTAGACTGTACACGAATCCTTTCTCGTGACTCCTTTCAGTTAAAAGAAGTTCCTTAATTAGCATTTTCAACAATTAAGAGAATTTCAGGTTTATTGCACCAATTTCTTAGGATTAATTTTTCAAATTAACTGTTATTATAATCAATTCTCGTTTTCAGCTGTAAGGAAGTGCATGGAGAAAGATGTTGATGGAGTGGGAATGATAGCACGGAATGTGAAAATGAAAATTGAAGCAATAACTAAAGATGTACTGCTCTGATAATTTGTTATTAAAATCTGTCCCAGCATTTCCTTAAAAATTTTATACGATATCTTAATAGCATAAACTGATTTCTATTGCCTCGTCAGAACTTAGCCAATCGACAGAAATCCGGGTGTGAAAAAGGGACAGCTGTTGACAGGTTGAGGATGAACATGACAAAGTGTGTTCTGGTGGAGAATGCAAGTATTTATTATACGGATTCTTCATTTTGGTTTATAAGGAATATAATCATGTTTTTCTTTGGTGCAGTTCCTTGACCACAAACTTTAAAGACTTGATGACAGCATTTCAGGTATCACGTAATTACTCATTAGCAGTTGTTTTTGCCCCACTTTCCCTCGGTTGGAAATATCTCGATTTTTCTGTTTTTCTTTTAACAGAACTTGAGACAGAAGATAGATGAGGAATATCGCGAGGTTGTGGAGAGAAGGGTGATCACAGGTTTGAATGATCAGACGTCCATTAGAACGTTTCTTCTTTTTCATTAACTTCTTATTTGTGGTTTATACTAAGTTTTATTGCTGCTGTAAATATCTGGTTAACAGTCACTGGAACTAGACCAGATGAAGAGGTGAGCCTATATTCTGTTTGTAATATTTGAATTCTAGATTACATAGGTGATATCCTATTAGCTGAACCCGCTGATTGACAGACAATCAACAACCTGATTGAAACTGGAAACAGTGAACAAATATTCCAGAAAGCCATCGAAACAGGACGAGGGGAGGTAATATTTCTGCTCTATTTCAATTTTTATGTATTTTTTTGATTTCATGTCACATGCATATTAACAGACTACTCTCTATGGATTATTACGAAATCTATCTATGGATTTCTCTTGAGAGTACTCAAGAACCTCACAGAAGATTTCTTTACAAATACATTCTCTATGTACTAAAAACCTTTCTGTTAATCTTTCAATTCGAATTCACAAATTTCATAACTGAAATTACAATTTTGCCCTCTTTAAAAGCTAGACAAAGGTGAGTAGTAACCTTGCAAGTGTCACGATCATATTGTTCCAGCTGCTTCTCCATTCAAGAATCAACATTTCACTAACGGGACTAACATTTGTACTTTGCACTCTTCAAGCAACATTATTTACAAGAATAAAATACCCAACTTTCCACGCAATGTCGAAGTGCATAAAATAGATTTTGCTTTTGGGGCAGTATTCCTAGCACAAGCACAATACATTAGACGTCATCCATCCCGTTAGGAGTTTAGGATTTTGACTTCTCAATTCTCGGTTGTAGGTGCTAAGTACTTTGGAAGAAATTCAGGAGAGACACGACGCTGTGAAAGAAATTGAACAAAAGCTTCTTGACTTGCATCAGGTTCGACTTAATCCCCAACTTCCCGAACTTGGCCTAACTCTGTGGAAATCCCCTTTTTTAACAAAAAAAATTCTCTCAAATATCAGATACACCTTGATATGGGTGTTCTTGTCGAAGCTCAAGGAGAAATCCTCGACAACATTGAGAGCCAGGTTTGTTACCAACCTCACAATGCTAGCTGCTGTATACTTTATTACTATGTTGTTGGTCCCAAAATCGATTTTATATTTCGATTTGTAAACAAGAACAGAAAATAAATCAACAAAAAATAACAAAAACATAAGATTTTTCAGCTCAAAGGCCCCGAGATTCGGCGACCACTTCTAATGCCTAATCCTCGTTGAGCTTCCGTTAGGAATAAACTCAAATCTACTAAAATCACCCAAAAATAGGCACGAACGAGTTGCAGTACAAAAATCACAAAACTAGTAGAAATATTCGCAATCCTTCCACTGCAGATATGAACTCACGCAAGAGTTCATTATTCTACTCTCAACTCTCACAAATTCACACAAGAAAATGGAGACCAAATTTACAAAGAACAATGAAAAAGAGCACTGCTCTATGAGAGTAAAATGAAAAAACGAAGGCAGCGGCACGTGAACTGA